CTTGTTGCTGACAGCTGTACAACATCCATATATGCGTTGGTACATGCATTACTGGACATATTCCTGAACGCTCAATAAAAAAATTCCTGGTTTTATTTACTTACCCATATATCAATTGTGCTTGCAGGATTGTGTCGGACTGTATTCCATTTAAGCAGAGGAAGCGTGTACCCTATTTGATCATTTCTAGTGGTCTTTCTCTATTTCCATGGCTTATCATTGGGCTATCAGAATATTTGAGGAGCTCAAGCAATCTTTTTATGCTAATGTTGATTGTACAGAACTTGGGATCTGCCATGGCAGATGTTGTTATAGATGCAATGATTGCAGAGGCAGTTCGATCAGCAGGGTGAGTAATTTTGTGCATATTGTCTCACCTTGTATAGCAAGTACTCCAATACAATGCTTTGAAACCTGAATTATTCTCTTTTCAGGCCAGAATTTGCTGGTGATCTCCAGTCATTATCTTGGTCATCAATGGCTGTAGGGGGGATATTTGGGAGCTTATTGGGAGGATACACATTGTCCAATCTCCCAATAAATGCTATTTATATTATGTTCTCTGCTCTTCCACTGTTCCAACTAGTTACATGTGTTTTCCTTAAGGAATCTCCAAAAGGATTTGAAAGCATGACAGATAACGCCGCACATGATGGTCAGAATATTGATAGTGCTTTTGCTGGACAAGGCTCAGGTGAATCTTTTAAATATGAGGGCACTAGGAAGCGAAAGGGTGCTCGTAAAAAGTGCAAAAGGAGATCATTATTCAAACGATCTGAAGCTCATGAGAAGCACAATAAATCAGTTGATTTATACTCATCTCTGAAATCAGCCTTAGTCAGTTTATGCACTGCTTTTAAGCAGCCAGCAATTTTGCAGTAATGAACCCTGCAATTTCATTTTCTCTGATGTTTGCCTCTTTCACTGAAGAGCCTAACCGGTAACTTCCTTTTTTCTTTTCTCTAGACCTATGGCATGGTTTTTCATTTCAAATGCAGCAGTTCCAAATATCTCAGCAGTTATGTTCTATTACAAACGGAGGTTCTACATCTGGAGGCATCCTTCCTAGGGACTGCACGTGTGATTGGGTGGTTCAGTCTAATGCTTGGCACATATATCTACAACCGCTACTTAAAGCATAAAAAACTCAGGAATATTCTTATGTAAGTCATTTTTTTTCAAGCTGTTTATCTTCTGCAAATGTCAAAACACTATCTATATTAGTGCCATAGCTTGTTTAAAGGAAGTTGAAATATTATGTATATATGCTTAATGTACTAACTGAAACTTTCTATAAACTTTTATGTAAGTTGGCTGTCCATGATTTGAATGAGTTGCACTAAATTTTCATCTTGGTATTTTTGGTATAAGCCATTTCTTGATCACCTTTTGGCCTGTGTTCTAGTGAGTGTGTTATGACCGGCATATTAGGGGCTTAGCCCAGTGGGTTGTGGCCCAAGTTATCTTATCATTATTAGGGGCTTAGCCCAATTATCTTATCGTTATTAGGATCGTTTGCTTAGGAGTCAAGTAAACCTCTCTATATAAGGAGACGAGATGTATCAGTCTAATCTAGCAAGAAGCAATCATTATTTGCTCGGCTCCCCGAAGGGAGTCGGGAGACCTAACCCTAGCCGCCTCTTGCGCTGCCGTCGCCTCTTCTTCATCGCGCCACGGCGCCCCGCCGCCGGTAGCAGCGATCGCACCTCCGTCAACCCTCCCCCTTCGCGTACAACCTACGCCCTAGACCCGGTAGGGTCCCAGCTCCTACCAATTTGGTATTAGGTAGCTCGGTTCCGATCATGTCTGCACCACCACCCAACCCGCCGCTGCCCGTCACCACCGCGCCGTTGCCTCTTTCCACCGCGCCGCTGGCTCTCCCCACCGCCGGCGCCTCCACCGGCCAGACACCGCCGCCCTCCACCGCGCCGCCCGTCACCATCTACTCGCCGACGGAGATGACCGGGGTCCTCAACGACCCCGTCACCGCCATCCAGGGCATACGCCTCTACCTGGCTGGGCCTTACGGGCAGCCAGCCGCCCTGCCCTGGTATGCGGCCACCACGGCGTCGATCGGGCCTCTACACCACCACTGGCCCGGTCAGCCGCCAGTGGCCGTCGCCCCCCACTGGCCGCAGAGGCCGGCTCCGGCGATCGCCGCGCCGCCGACGCCTCCCGGGTCCGGGCAGCCGCAGGCCCCACCACCGTCCGCTGCCGCGCCTCAATGGCCATAGTGGCCGGCCCTGGCCCTCGCTGCGCCCCTGACGCCTCCCGGGTCTAGGCAGCCGCAGCCCCAGCTGCCGGCCCCACCGCCGCCCGCTGCCGCGCCTCAATGGCCACAGTGGCCGGCCCCTGCGTCCCCCACGCCACCCGGGTCCGTACCGCCGCAGCTGCCGGCCCCGCCCCCGCCCAGCACGAGGCCCGGGTCACCCACGCAGGGAGGCGTACTGATCCAGCAAGTGCGCTTCCCGCCGTCACCGTCCCCAATACCGGCATGTCTGACCGGATCATCACCGCCACCCGTCTACACGTCGACTGGAGACCCGCAGGCACCCACTCTACAGTTCGGCGATCCCTCCGGCTCGGCGGGGCACTCCATGGGTCGCGGCCATGCTGACCGGGTGCCCTAATCCTCGCTGCTTCGCACCTCCGAGCCAGTCGGCCACGGCGCTCCGACTCAGACACCGCCGCGGTTTGCCAAACTGGACTTCGCCACTTATGACGGCACGGAGGACCCCCTCAACTGGCTCAACCAGTGCGAGCAGTTCTTTCGCGGGCAGCGCATCCTCGCCTTGGAGCGTACCTGGCTTGCCTCTTACCACCTCCGCGGCGCGGCATAGACCTGGTACTACGCCCTCGAGCAGGACGAGGGAAGCATGCCCCCTTGGGAGCGCTTCCGCGAGCTCTGCCTCCTAAGTTTTGGGCCACTGATCCGCGGGAGCCGCCTGGCAGAGCTAGGCTGCCTTCCCTTCACCTCCAAGGTTCAGGACTTCGCCGGCCGTTTCCAGGCCCTGGCATGCCACGCGTCGGGCGTGACGGCGCAGCAGTGGGCCGACCTCTTTGTCGGTGGACTTCCGGATCACATCCGCATGGACGTGGAGCTTCGGGGACCCCAGGATCTCCAGACGGCCATGTACTACGCCCGCGCGTTTGAGCGCCGCGCGGTGGCCATCCAGCAGGAATCATCGTCCCGGGCCGCTGGGTCGCTACCCTGGCCAGATCTTCCCACGCAGGGTCGGCCTGCTCAAGCTTCCGCGGCACCCCTCGCCGCGACCGCGGCGTGCCCGGTCCGCTGGCTCACCTCGGCCGAGCTACTCGAGCGTCGCCGCCAAGGGTTGTGCTTCAACTGCGATGAGCCCTACACGCCTGGCCATGTCTGCCCACGACTCTTCTACCTCGAGGCTGCAGACTACATTTCGGAGGACGCCGTCGCCGCCGACCTGGCCGCCCCAGCTGTCGCGAAGGTGTTTGACGCTGGTTGATCACCTCGAGGAGTTCAGAAAGCGCTTCCCCACCTTACAGCTCGAGGACAAGCTGTTTGTGCAGGCGGGGAGAAGTGTTATGACCGGCATATTAGGGGCTTAGCCCAGTGGGTTGTTGGCCCAAGTTATCTTATCATTATTAGGGGCTTAGCCCAATTATCTTATCGATATTAGGATCATTTGCTTAGGAGTCAAGTAAACCTCTCTATATAAGGAGAGGAGATGTATCAGTCTAATCAAGCAAGAAGCAACCATTATTTGCTCGGCTTCCTGAAGGGAGCCGGGAGACCTAACCCTAGCCGCCTCTTGCGCCGCCGCCGCCTCTTCTTCATCGCGCCACGGTGCCCCACCGCCGGCAGCCACGATCGCACCTCCGTCAACCCTCCCCCTTCGCGTACAACCTACGCCCTAGACCCGGTAGGGTCCCAGCTCCTACCAGAGTGTATGCTCCTTTATTAATGTTTTTAAAAATTGACATAATTCTTGGGGCTTAATTGGCTACAATGCAAATCTATTCACTTTTTTAAAGTTATTAGGTACTTACATGTGCCACCTTTAATAACTGCTGTCCTTATTTTACAGGTTTGCACATGTTGGCCTTGTGATAATTACTGTATTGGACATTTTACTGGTGTCAAGATTACATATTCAGTATGGAATAGCAGACAAATACATGGTGCTGTGGGGCTCTGCTTTGGCCGATGCAATCAACCAATTCAAGTATATCCTCTAGCTGTCATTTCTTTCATACTCCTATGAACTATTCCCTCCATCCCATAATATAAGATCATTTTACAAGCTAACATAGCTTGCAAAATGATCTTATATTATGGGACGGAGGGAGTAGATTGCAAACCATAAACTGAGTGATCTGCTTGACCTGTAGTTTAGAGAACCAGTTGAGATGCGTTTCTGTTATACATGCTAAGTTGCTGCCCAGAGTTACTGATACTTCATTGACTAATCTTGTATTTAGAAGATTTTAGTGTTGTGGTAACTCATTAGGCACCAACTTAAACTTATTTATTTCAACTAAATCTAGACAGATACTCCAGGCATACTCTCATTTTTATTTCCCTTTATTTGGGCGAGTGTCAATCAAGTGGCGCTCATGAATGCTTCTTGAGCTCATGGTTCAGTGTGACCTGTCTGTCATTAATTGCTTTAGATCACTGTATGTTCGTTTACGCAAGGGAGGAAATTCTTCACTTTTTTACCCTGTATGATAATTGACATTGGCTTGTAGGTTCATACTGTTCTCTTAATCAAAATTGCAAAAGAGCAACCGAAAAAATGAAGAAATTGTTCAATCTATCCAGTATGAATCCATTATTGCACTCATGGCTGAAGATCAGACATCTTATGTACACATCAACACAATAGCGTTTCTAACTTTATTATTTACATTTGGTAGGATGATGCCGTTCCTAATCCTCTCAGGACAGCTTTGCCCGCCTGGAATCGAGGGCACACTGTTTGCTCTTTTCATGTCCATTAACAACCTCAGTTCGACATTAGGTTCATTCCTTGGAGCTGCATTGACGTCAGCTTTGAACATCTCGTCGGTACAGTTTGACAATCTGGCGCTCGGCCTAGCTGTTCGGCTGATGGGAACTCTCTTACCTATCAGATTTTTGTTTCTGATTCCAAGGGACGTTACGGGACTAACATCATAGGAGATGGGTTACAGACCTGATCATCATTTTTTTTGGACTGGTCTGGTCTGTATTCCCTAGTCTTACTCATACATGCATATAGAGAAAGCAAATTGAGGCCAGCAGGAAGGTAGCTCAGTTTTGTTGAAATATGTATACATGCATATACTTGAATGAGAGGAAGAGTGCAATAGCTGACATTACAAAGCGTTAAGCAATGGCAAAACTGTGTAGCAAATGTACTTGCAAGAACATGTGTTACATGGAAAGTGTTATTGTTTATGATTTAGCTTTTGATGTATACATCTGTCTGTCTATCTACCTACATTACCTATCTATCTATTTATCTCTTTCTCTATCTCTGTCTAATATTAAAATCTCTACCTTTAGCATTGTGATCTAGTATGTTTATACTGTCAAATTGAGCAGTGAATTGACGTATATACTTGTTATGCTTGCGAGTGTATATTAACTGATTGCGCTAGAAATACGAATAAATTGCAATTGAAAAATTGAGTATATTACCAAAAATTCACATCAAATAGTATGTTGCTGAAATTTGTTTTGATTGTACAACATCTACATATGGGAGGCAATCTCATCATCTCGATGCAAGAGGTGAGCTGAATCAAACTTGTCTCATTCCATCTTTCCAACCAAACACAAGAGCGAAACAATAACATTTTGTACCTTCAACCAAACACCAAACAGATGAATGAAACCGGTCCTGTGGGATGGAAGGGCAAGTTGATGAATTTTGCAGGCCGACGCGTTTTGGTGCGAACGGTGCTCTCTGCCCTGCCAACTTTCGCTCTGACAGTGGTCAAGGTGCCGAAGAGGGTACTGAAGGAAATCGACAAGGCTCGGCGACGCTTCCTGTGGGCGCAGGACGAAGCGCTGACGGGTGGAAAGTGCAAAGTGGCGTGGAGCTCGGTGTGCTCACCAGTAGAGAAGGGCGGGCTGGGGATACCTTATCTGCACCGGTTTGGCTCCGCCCTAAGACTATGCTGGTTATGGTTATCCTGGCAGCAGCCGGCGCGACCCTGGTCGGCTTTCCCCTTGCCATGCGACAAGACAAACAGAGAGATGTTTGAGAGAGCCACGACGGCCCGGATCGGCGATGGCCAGCAAGCAGGATTCTGGACAAGCTCCTGGCTGGATGGCACCCCGCTACGCTCATCCTTTCCGGACCTTTTCAAGCACTCTAGGCGCAAGAACCGCACGGTGGCTGCAGCGCTCACCAACGAGCAGTGGATCAGCGATCTGCACCACGACAACACAACATCCATCATCACCGAATACCTGCGCCTTTGGCGGCGACTCCAACTCTCGGGGATCACCCTCGACAACCAAGTGGCCGATCAAATTGCGTGGACAGCAGGTGGTGGCGCCTACTACTCTGCCCGGGCAGCATACAAAATGCATTTCAAGGACATGACAAGCACAAGCCACAGCAAGGTCGTCTGGAAATGCTGGCGTCGGGGACTGTCAAGATGTTCGTGTGGCTGCTTCACAGAACATGCTTTGGTGCAATGGCAGGCTACAGAGGCGGGGCTGGCCAAACGGGTATTATTTCTGCAGTCTATGTACCAGAAGCCTGGAATCCGCGTCGCACCTCATGTGGGAATGCCCCTTCTCCTGGACGATTTGGATAACTGCCTCGACCTAGAATGGTTGCGAGGCCATGAGACATGTCAAGCCGCCGCACCACAACTCTCTGCAGCACTTCCAGGAGATGATCAGACGCACACTGACCGGCGTGCTTCTGATCGCCTGGCACATTTGAAAGGAGAGGAATGCTTGCGTTTTCAGAGCTAAAATGCCACTGCAGACGACGTCCTTCAGGCTATCAAGCTGGATCTTGCACAATGGAGACTCGCCGGAGCGACATGCTTAGAGCCCCCGTTCGGGACGCCGCTGCGAGACAGAGAGTCAAAGGCCTCCCAATTTACTTTCTCTTATGTTTCTTTTGCTTTTTGCTCTCCGTTTGCACACCTCTCTTGTGCCCATGATCACTTGATCCCCGCTGTTTCCCGTATGCTTTCTCCTAAATCAATGAAGCCGGTCAAAACTGGATCTTTCAAAAAAGAATGAAACTGATCCGTTTAACCATGAAACTCCATTCCATTCCATTTGACTCCTCATTCAAACACACCCTTTGTTGCCTCTCCCCACATGCACGATCGGTCAGGATGAAGAAGACACAGGTACATTGACCCATGAAATCCTAGATCTTGAACTGAGAAACTCGGCAGCAAGTGCACCAACTATTGAGATACTCATCGTCCCGTGAGGGAGGTGGAGGTGATGAGCTGTCCTTCCGTGAAGAGCATACCAGCCTGCGGCAGCTCCATCTCCTGCTGCATGCCTGACAGTGCGAAACAAAGGCAGGCCTCTTTAAAGTTGTACTCCATCCGTTTCCTAAATATAAATCTTTTTAAGATTTCATTTAATATGGACTACATAGAAGCAAAATGGACGAATCTATACTTTAAAATACGTCTATATACATCCGTATGTAGTTTATATTAAAATATCTTAAAAACATATACTTCCTCTGTCCGGAAATACTTGTCATCAAAATGGATAAAAGGAGATGTATCTAGACGTAATTTAGTTCTAAATACATCTCTTTTTATCCATTTTGATGACAAGTATTTTTGAACGGAGGGAGTATTTAGGAACGAAGGGAGTACAAAAATAGCAGCAATTAATCTGGATCGGAGGGGGCAGTATTTTTTCGAAATACTCGCTTTGAGTCACGTTTCCCATCATTTTTTCCTACCGTGCTCCTCCTTCTCCTCCACTTTAACGATGGCTGTTAATTTGGAATGCACAGTTCTGAATTGACGATCTACTGGCCTGATGATGTCTTTTGCGAGCTTGATCAGACATTCCAAAACCTTATCAAACTTTCTTACAATTGTCTCCAATGACCTAACAAATCTGTTTTCTGCTTGTCTTACAGATTGTGGGGAACCTACTATCTAAAGAAACAGGCCTAGAGACTCAACTGATGACATTCTTTTAGTGGACTTCAAATCATAGGAATCAACTAGCACACTATGCAATTTTTCAAACACTGGTTTGTGCATTCTAAACATGTTGTAACAAGCAGTTTCGTTGCATAGTGTTGTCATAACTCAATCATGCCCAGACTGTATTGGTACTCTTCTAGGTCCTTTGTTACTGTAAGAGTCCAAGTAGTACATACCAATCATGCAGGCCATCTGCATCATTCTTCTCTTCCTTTTTTGGTGCATGAACAACATCAGTGCTTCATCATCACTGCTGCTCCCATCATCACTGCTGATTCCATCAACACTGCTGTCATCATCCTGAAACATGCAAACATTAGTACAACTTCTTCATTATGCACCACCTCGTCAACTTGAAAACATTAGTACATGCAAATGAAACACACTAACACGCATTCATCATTTAACAAGGTCACACAGCACAGGTCCATTACATAGGTATATTATTAAAAGGACAATGAAGATAACTACTACATTAGTACAACTTCTTCATCTGGCACCACCTCTTCAACTAAGTCAGTCTAGCGTCATCACTTGAAATGTTCTCAAATATGACTCTGTTTGCCTCATCTGTAAACAGTTGAGTTGCCATGAAGTACTCAACACTTGTTTCTTCTGCACCACATTTAACTGCCAACATTTGACAATGAGTAATGGATTCCTTAGTGCTGTTTGATTTCTTCTCCTTTGCCTTGTCCTTTGCTTCCTGCCTTTTGTTTGCATATTTAGTGATCATGTCAGAAGTGTTCTCACTATTCATAGTATTGATGAGCCCTGTCATTAGTTTCACCATTGGGCTCTTGTGTTTCTTTCCTGGGCTTGTAGCTGTCTGTTCACCGCCGCTCTTCCCTTCTTCTTGCTGGTGGTGCTCATTGGACTCTGCTCATTTCCATCATCGGCAACATCATATTCTTCTTCTTCATCTTCATCTAAGGGCACATAAGCTGATGATCCATCAACTGCCACACCTTGAAATAACTCTATTAGCATATCCAAATACTCAGGATTGCCACCCTTGAATTTTCTAACATCTGGTCTCTCCTGCAACATTAGTTAGGTAATTAGGACAAGGCTAAATAATGTAACCAAGTGTGAGCAATTTAGATGTAATTTGCAGAATAATGTATGTACCTTAATTACTTTTTTCCACCATGCAGGTGATGCGGTTATAGCTCCATCTCCAGTTCGGCCACAACCAGTTTGCTGCCCCAACCACAACCAAGCAGTGTAGTAGCTCTTGAGTCTAGTTATGCAATTTTTGAATTGCTTGGTACTATGCAGGAGGCCAGCACGCTGATAAAACTTTTTCTTCATGTTATTGTACGCTCTACTTGTCCAAACACCATTCACACGGTGCCCATCCCTAGCTTCCTCACAGGCGATGTTACAAAATACAGTAATATGCGCGTCTGTCCAATCAGCCTTGGCAATGTTTTTCTAAACAAAAAATAACAAGCACACAATTCAAATAAAAGTAGAATCAAGCTGTTTCTAATTCTACACCAACGTATACCATTATACACACAAGTAGCTAGCACAAAAAGAAGATGAACTTGCACCCTGAGACAAAAAAAAGAACTATGTACTAGTGCAATATACCATTGTGCAGCGCAATATAGCAATCAAAAATATACTAGTGCAATAAAAAATATAGCAACAGCAGCATTGTATACCATTGTACAGTGCAATATACCAAGCAAAAATATACCTCTCCAAAAGCATTGTTGTCATCATCATCTTCAAAGCCTTCATTCTCGTCGACATCTTCTGAAGACGCAGCAGTTGACGACACACGTTGCTTCCCCGCAATTTTTCCTCTACTGTCGGCCGCTGAGAACCCATTGCCTCGACCTACGACGCGTCCGGTGACCTGGGACGAGGTCCTCCCACGCCCTATGACGCCTCCCTCAATGGCAGCTGCGGCCGGGGCGACGAACGGACGCAGGTTAGAGCCGCCTCGGCCTCCGATGTTCAGAGACCGGC